CCCGCCCCGGTCGTTCTTTCTCCTTTTTCCCCTTCCTTAACGCCGATTGCGGGTTGTTTCACTCGTCAAACGAGAATCTCACGTAGAGGGCCGAGTCAAGTGCCGCCGCCGATTACTGCATGAACGGCCGTGTCGATTTAGGTTTGTTCCTTTGTGCGCCCGCGCACGATTTATTAACAGTTGCTCCTTTACACTGACGGACGGCAGGTCGAATGACAGGATCGGTCGAAAGCAGCCTGGTTGAAACATTTCTCTCGCAGATCCGTGTGAGGCGCAGTCGACTGCACTCCCGCGAGGAAATTTACTCGGTGAATAATCTGCCGAGTGTTAAACTGTGCGAGACAGCTCGCGCGATCGGCAGCGAGTGAGTTGAAGCTCGCGTGGCCACCTCGTCGCGCCGCCGAAAGTGCGGCTCGCAATTACCAGGTTGGCGTGCGTGTGCGTCCACGAGGAAATCAGGAAGCCTTTTCTTCGAGGAATGAAGAAAGAGAGAAAGGGAGAGAAGAGGGGAGGGGAAGAAGCAGGGAAGATTCCGGATCTCACGAGCTGTCACGCGCACAATCGCGAAAGATAGAGAGACGATTCTCTCGCCGGGACGCAACCCCTTCTGCGGTTTCTCCCCCTTTCCTCTGGACAATGGACCGACTCGTGGAGAAAGAGAGAAAGAGAGAAAATGAATTTGCAACATCAGTAAACTGCGCGGCGCCGCCGCTCCCGCACCGCAATCAAAAAAGAGCGAAGAGTGGAGAGAGAGAGAGAGAGAATGGGGAGAAGAGGGGGAGTTAAAAAAGAGGAAGAGAGAGAGAGAGAACGGGAAAAAGGAGTCCCCGGAACGAGGACTCCTGAAGAACGGCGAAACAAGGCGGGCGTGAGATGGAGAAAGAGAGAGAGGACGGATCGTGTTTCACGCCTGACGGATTCCGAACCGTTTGAAACCCAGGTGGAAATAATACAACTTTGTGTTCCTTGTTAAGGATCAAAGGAAACCTACCCCAATCTCGATGTCGAGACTCTTGGCTGGTCTCTCCGACTCTTGCCTCACCTCTCTTTCTCCTGTCCCGCGCGACCGGCATGAAACTTACGCAAAGCGTTTGCCCACTGTACGCTTTATTTGACAGCTTTCGGTAATGATACGCTAAGTAAGATCGATGGGATATTCCTTTTTTTTTTCGTCGAGAAACACCTGACATCTTAACGTTGAGCCAAGCGCGTCGTCGAACCGGTTAATAAACACGTTTCTCGACAAATATGTTTGTTTGCGTAGCCACAAAAAATGTGTAACAGTGCGAATCTACTTTCCTGCTGACTGATAGTAAAGACTGCATAGTCAATTTTGACACTTAACTTTCACCAGAGCACCAAAACTTATTTTATTTTTATCCTTTAAACTGGTCACTTTGTAATGCAACTATCAGATGGGAAAATCTATTCTATGATTTTCTCGTCCTATGTAGTGAAAATCCGAAAATCGTGCATAAAAATAGAGAGAGACCATGACTCTCGTTCTCTCACAATAGTCATATTTATAAAATATATTGTGTGAATATTAAATACACAGGAGGACATGTCATTGTTACTGTTTAAAAATTGTGCAGTACTCACTTAGGCATTGCGCTCAAAGAAATAACATCCATTGTGTGTTGTTCAGGATAAAAGAAGGTTACCTTATATTTCAAGCTGGACAAATATTTTTAATCCATCTTGTATTCTTATCTTTTATATTTAGTTTAAGCTATAATAAAACCTAGATGTATATATTATTTCAAGCTACGTATTTTCTTCCTTTCTTTATAGAGTGCATTGCATCGTACTGTAAGGAAAAATTTAGCTCCAATGTACATCGCTTGTTAAAACACCATTATTCGTAATCGAAGAAAGCATAATTGAATAGGATCATAGTTATCTTTGTATTCTATGTGAGAAGTAAATTTGCGATTGTAAATGACACTGTGTATCAGCAGATACTTACTGTGAGGATCAAAGGCTATGAATTCAAGCTTGTCGCCCAATCTCTCTCGAACGTGTACTCGAGTGTGACCGGTTATGACACTTTGTACCGCGACCAGGATATTTCTGCAATGAAATAACAACGTTAGTAGATATCTATTAATTAACAACACATTGGTTCTAACTTCATGTGCCTACTAATATTTTCTAGAAAGAAGAAATTACACATTTTTCCGACAGATACCTATAATTATATAAGTTAGATAATAAAACTGTTACGCGATTAGATTGTACGCTTCATTGCGCGTTCACAATCTAACCTTAACCTTTCGCTCAGCTGTTTTGCATATCACCGCACTCACTTACTTGCTCTTCGGTTTTAATAATGCGTTCGTTAAAAACATGGTATCGAGGATCTTTTTCGATTGTGTGATTCAAGAGATTGTTTCCGTGCAATGTCGTATGAATAAAAAATCCAACAAGGACTGCACAGCAATGTACCAAACTCTGAGAGGTTAGGACATGTTTGAATCAATTGGTGTGTTCTTTTTAGCCGTATTGCTGAACCGGTGCAACAAGTTAGAATGAGACAAATATATTTTTTCTCGCTCTAATTTATTGCTCTAATTTATTTATCAGTTCAACAGTGTAGCTAAAAAGAACAGATTAAATTCAACGCTATCCGATGGAAGATAGCTCAGCCTAGAGCTGCGTTCGAGAGTTCACACGGAGATATTTAATTGACCAATCATGATAAAGAAATCTAGGATATTTTTATCCTGATTGGCCAATTAAATATTCTATACATATTGTGGTGTTTCCAAACGCAGCCGCAAGCAACAACTCGCATCGAGATTTCAAGCCAGCCAATCAGATTCACGGAAAAGTTTCAACATTTCGATATTTCTCAAAACATATTTTTCTTATAAATTTCTTGTAATTTAACTCGACGTTTTAGTCATATTTTTCTTACATAACTAAAATTATATTTTGATTTATGCTTAATAATTTATAAGTTATTTTTATCTAATATTTTAATGTTTTTATTTATATTTCATATAATCATAGAAATTTAAATTTACAATTATACAATCAGAAGATATAAAATTTTACATTGCATTTTCCTAGTAACTTTACTGATAAGTGTAATAATGGCAGTGGATAATCAGCATGGAGTAACTTAGTTTAATAAACATAGAATACTTTGTTTAATATCTCATATGTTTAATATCTCAAAAATATTATATGTTTATATATGTGTGTTTTATTCTATATGTACTTCACTGAAAAGTAGCTTCATTTATATTTCTTCTACAATTCAAAGATGTGCGTTATATTATATGCAAAAAATAGTGTACAATACAATGATAAATATGCAATAATAAGTAATGAAACACCGAAAATAAACATAAGATAAAATATCGAGATTACTAAGTCCATTTAATGCTTCTGTGAATTAATTTCGTGTCCTGGAGAAAGCTGTTGAAGCGAAAGCAAGAACATCTTAACCGTAACTGCAAATAAGACTCTATTCCACTTTTATAAATCATAGAATATATGCAATTCAAATATACAACATATAAAATTAAACATATAATTTTGCATATAACACACATCTTTGAATTGTAGAAGAAATATTAATGAAGCTACTTTTCAGTGAAGTACATATAGACTAAAACATACAAGACTGCAAAATGAACAGTTCTTGATGTTGGATGAGAATATTATTTGGTATCATTCGATTTTTTGATTGGCCAATGTCTCCAATCGTTTAATCACTTTTATAATATCGGCATTTCTATCCAATTTCATGTAATTGACGTCTCGCACATTGTGTATGCTAACCCAAGTGGGTAATAACTTACACAACATCCGTAAATGTTCGTCCATTTCATTAGGCGTTAACTTAACATTTATGGAGTTATTCAATCGCTGTATCACGGTCTCCATCGGCAGAACGCCCTTCTTATCCGATATATAAATATAACGGAGTGTCCTCGCGAATTCCGGTAGCCTCGCGTATAACGTAGCTTCTTTGTCGGCGCTCGGAGTTCTCGTCATCTTCTCCAACGCCTTAGCCGCCTGTCTCTCGCGGACCTGAAATATTACGAGTACACAAAGATGAAAGATTGCGTTGCGAAGAATGTTAAGTGTTACTTCTCAAGATAGATATTCGGGTGATCCACCTTACCTTCTCGAGCAGAGATTTGGGAATGCCCTTAAATGCTTTAGTAAGGTAAGAATTTGGACGCCCACTCGGTGTAGCCGGGGGAGTGTCCACGATGGTAATGTTAACCTGCGGAATATTATTTTCCGTGGTTTGAGTCGTGGAGTCCTGTGTAGAAGATGGAGAAGTCGATTTTGAAGTCATTTTTGCCTCAGCCAGTCTCTGCAATGCCTTCCCCATACGAGAGCCGTTATCGAACAATGATTTAACTTTGTCTGTAAAAAAAAAAAGAGAAATAATATAATAATAAAAACATATGACAAAGAAATTTATGAACGGGAGATTTCTCATTAGTAGATATTAGTAGACATTTTATGAATTAAATGGACGCTTACATATTCTACTAATAGCTTCATCTTTCCTGAGAGAAATCTTAAATCCATTTTCTATAATTAACTTATTTATTACAGGACGGGTCGGGTGAAAGGAATGCATATTGTACACAACTACCGAGTTGTTAAACACAAGAAATGCTTTTATACCGATTATTCCGTGTTAGGTCGTGCTGATCAAGCAACAAAGTCTTGCGACATTGGGGCCGAACGGAAAAAAAAAAAACAGATTTTGCAAGTATTTGGACACATCGTTACTTAAACTTCTTGTGCAATATTTTGTCCCACTTAATCTCCTCGAAATTAAGACTACGTTACGTCACTGTACGTAACGCACGACAATGCAAATTTGTGCGAATATTTAAGATTCTTGACGCGTTACTTCAATGTCTCAAGATGTAGCACTATGCATTGTATACGACACAGGAAATCGAATAAATTAACTTTTTCCAAACAATATTCCTATTTTTGTCAACACTGTTATTCTTACCGAGAACATCTTTGGCAGTTGCATTGTCAGCTTGAGGTGGCTGCGGTAATTCGGCCTTTTCGATTTCTGTGCATGCTTCCAAGCTGAACTCAGGATGCCAGAACGTTATCTTCTGCTTATCGACAACTATCGGGGTCTTCAAGCTCAACAAAAATGTCTCGTGCTCGTTTTTCACTCTTTCTGTGTAACAAAGATATCGCAGATAATTATTATTATCAGATGAATAATTATGGATCATCTGATTTCTATTGCTGCATTGAGTCATTTTTTCTTTTTCCCACCAAATCTCTCTCTCAAGAACGAGAGGAAAAGAGAACGTGCGAGCTGACGCAGTTAGTGTGGCAATAGAAAACAGACCCATGGTAGATATTCAACAAAGATCGCACTGTACCATAAATCTCTTCTAGATAATACCTAGCAAAGCATTGTAAAATTTCCGTCTTCTTTCCAGCAATATTGCAGGCCCCATGCTGGGCCCAGATTTCAATATGTCATCAGGATCAGGTGTATACCTGCCATCATTCGCTTCGACCGTAGGCGTCAAAACCAATTCGTATCTCTCGGTTTTGGACACTGAGCCGAAATTACGATGCTTCTCTTGTTGATAGATATACGCGTCGGGATAGATGGTCTTTATCTGGGCTAGATGATCCAGCGTGAAATTACGTCCTAGCAACTTTTGAACCGCGGGCTTCAATTTGTTAAACGTTATTAATTCCTTTCTGTTAAACTGCATCGCTGATACCTGAAAGCAGAAACAAACAACTTTATATCTCATCATCATAAGATAAACATGAACAATGTACAGCATTAGTGTAAAAAAATTTTAATAAAAACATATAATGTAGAGAGTTAGAAAGGAGTTATTACCGTTTCCACGCATCTGAACACTTCTGCTAAGAGTTTATAATTGCCGGGCAATTCCAGTGATGATTTCTCGCTTTCAGCAATATGCCTTTGATAAGCTGGTTTCTTAGTGAGACTGCATGTCACAGGACTCGGTGTTGTGTCTTTAGGTTCTAGTAAAATTCTTCTCTGAGGACTCATTGCTTCTGATATGCTTCTGTTCTTGGTTGGAGTCGACAAGGTCTTGGTTGGAGATCTGGCTATCTTTTGTGGACTGTCAAGTGAGATACAAGTAGAACGTCATAAATGTCAACTGATCAGATTCAATTAGAGAATAACAACATAATCACAAAAACTTACCTCACAGGAATCTCGAGTTCTATCTTCTCGAATTTCTGCATCTGAGGCTGGTTAATGTCGCTCATTTTTTGCAACTCTGCTTGCAATTTCTCCGACTTTTCGTTCAAATTCTTATATCTAGCTATGGAAGTTTTCAGTTTCAACAGTCTGAGAGGAGACTTGTTGATTCTGTTCTTGATGTCGTTCAAGCTTAAGTTCTCAGTAGCCAGTTTCTCCATCGCCAAGGTTTTCTTCGTTAGAGTTTCTGAACCACAGATGGATGGCTCATGCTCTTTCTCCTCTTCTTCCTTGATTGTGCTGCATTTTGGAAGATCGTTAGAGAAACTCTTCTTGGGAGTCGTCAGCTTCTTTGGGCTGAGACTACCCTTCTTCTCGAAGGGCACTTTCCTGCTTTCTACATCAACAGCTCCCATGTTTTGCAGGCTTTGCCGGATGTCCACCTGACTATCCAGCGAGAACAGTCTGTGTGAACGTAGCACTCGCGTCATGGGTGACTTCTCCGTGTTCGTTTTCTGTGAGTCGAAGTGAATATTACGAACCGCTCTCTTGGCAGTTGGGGAATCCTTAGCCACGGGCTTCGTGCTCCTCAGGATGACTTTCGGGCTCACCATTCTGTTGCTTTCGTCGGACACGTGTTCTTCCGAGTTGATATCGCACTTTGGATTATTTGACTCCAGCAATGTAACCTTGGATTTACCCCGTATATCATCAGACGCACGACGCTTTTGTATGTTAAAGTACATTGTTACCGAAGGCTGCGACATATTGTTTCTTATATATCTACTCGTATTGAAAGGTAATGTATGCAACGTATGCAAGTTATTTATGCAATGTGACGACCGACCGTTAAAGCCTATCCGCGCTTTTAACAGTGTTTACCCGCCATCACAGCATTCCTGAAAAAGACGTTATTTGCACATGCGCATTGTAACTGAGGTTGCGTTCGGGAATCTTACTTTGAATGTGATTTCTGTGGGGAAATAATACCTTCGTGTGCCTTCGTGGATTTCGAGGCTATCGAGAATTTCCAAACTCTCTAGTGTGACTTTTAATAAATAAAATTAATGGACGATAGCAACATTGTCGCTTCTGATTGGCTGTCGCAACAAGAGTTGCGTCTGTATCAATCGGCTTGCAACTAAAGAAGGTAGGACATAATTGATTACGTCTCTATTGACCACATTGATTGGACGACACCAGAAAATCAGCAAATCACGGCTGGTTGTGGTTCGTGGTGGATCAAGACTAGGGAAATTTACTGCACAAGTTAACTCGCCCTCAAAATTTAAGTATACGAGACCGCCGATTCCTCGCTAACATTTTCTATGTTTGAAAGCGCACCGAAATGTTATTGAGATCTGTAACATTATTAAACCCGTATCAGATTACGGATGAGAGATTGAGATTGAAATTTGACCAATCAGTGCAAAGTTCACTAAATTTCATTAAACTCAAGTTTAGTAAGTTGTGCTCTGATTGGTTAAATTTCAATCCAATCTTAATCCTAATTCGTAGTCTGATACGGTCATTAACTCTTGCGACATACAACTCGATTTCATTTTATTCGCAACATCGCACATTAAACGTCGCATCTATTCGTAATATGCGTTCAATATAGACCAATCGTTCTTTCTCCGCAAAGCGTTTGCGGCATAAAGTGGACCCCAAGCCTTCGGAGCTCAGCCTAAATGCCGTTTGAACGAACCGCTGTCGCCATCTTGACTATTCGACTGGCTGTCACCGCTACCAGGTGGCGCTCGCCTCCGCGTCCTCGTCAATAACAAACTTCGAGTTCGCCTGGGCCGGGGCAGTAGCGAGTGGTGTGTGTGCCGTGGTGGTATTCGTGCAGTGACTGTTGTTGCTGCGATTTTCCGCGTCGCGATCGAGTACGAGGAGGGGACGAAGAATCCGGTTTGCTGAGTCGGGGCGGCGGCCGTGTCGCGCGTTTCAACACGAAACTTATCTCCGTCGCTCTCTTTTCACGGGCTTGCCGCCGCGCGAGTGCCGCCGCGCTTCGTCGACGGACTATTTGAAGATGGCGCGGGTAATAAGGGCCGTGGCCGCGTTCGGCGTCGTCCCGTGATCCCGTGTGCGGCGGGGTGGCCGCGTCTCCACGGAATTCGAACGGCAGTTGTTTACGTGCCTGCGCGCGCGCGAGACTCGATTCACCTTGTTCGGTCGGTCCCGTCTGCTCTCGTCTCTCTCTCGGTGCAGTTGATTATACAGACAGTGCTCGTGCGTCGTTCTCGCGACCCGGACTCGACGGAAACAAGGGAGAATCGGCGAACAGGAGGAGGAAGCGAACGGACGGTTGTCGCGGAGACCAAGCCCTGTTCGGCCCTGATCGCCCGTGTCATTGTTCGCCGTAAGCGGCGGCTCTACCGCATTGGTGCTGCGTGTGCTGCGGACAGAAGCTGCGTCTTCGCGTTTTTGTACAGGTAAGCGCGCCCACCGTTGTTGTTATCCGATCCTGAGCGGGCTGACTCGGGCGATCTTCGGCGCCTGCGAGATCGTCGAGACAACAGGACGCGCGACTCCTTTGCGTGGAGTTCGGCTGATCGCGATGAATTTTCGTGAGTCCCTCGGCGCGCAATAAGTGACACCCGTGCGCTTGTATGTGTGTGTATATATGATGTATGTATGTATTCCCACACAAGCGTCTCTCTCTCTCTTTACACACACACATACACGAGATCGAGATACAATCGGCGATACGTGAGGCCTCGACGATGGATAACGCGCTGTACAAAGAAAATTAAAGGAACTCGGTCTGTAAATAAGATTCGACTCGAGACTAATGCGGAGAATTTGGGAATCCGATGGATCTGCGTCTGATAAAATAGACACGATCGTAAGGTGAGTGCGTCGGACTTCGAGATTGGAAGTATCAAAACGCGGCCGACATCGGCGTGTGCGTAGCCGTGTTCGCGCGCGCGCGTGTTTGATCGGTAAATATTCGCCGCCCCGATATCTCTGATTCATATCCGCGTCGTTCGCAGGATAAACGCGATTCGCATTTGATCATTCGAATACACGACACCGCTTGATCCTCGAAGGAACGAGCGAGCGAGCGAGCGAGAGAAAAAGAGATAAGCTCTTCGTAATATGCTAATCTTCACTAAAGCCTTAACATTTACCAGGCTGAAACTCATTAGTTTTCTTAGTCGTTAGCATCTTGGTTGGATATGAATGTTCTTATAACAGTTGATTATTCGAATAATCTCTCATTTTGACAGCCTGACGCGTCGTATTGTGTCACATTATATTATTATATAAATTTTATATCCCATTCATGTATTTTTCATAAAATATCGCATATTATATCAATTTTTACAACACATTGTTTATATCACACACACATATACATACATACATATTATACGATGGGAACGAGTAGAAAGCCTAGTGAATTTTGGCCAGGTAAAAGGCTTCGTAGAAACTCAACGTACATCGACGTCGCGCGCCTCTCTACGCACTTTCGCGCTTTTCACCCTGAATGTGGGCCCCGTGCGAGATCCAGCGAGAGCTGCGCACGAATATCCACGGCGGCGGCACAGAACGTCCGATTTGGACGACTGCGTTCGTCGACGGCGAGGGGAGCGCCGAAAGTGGGGTGCGAAAGGACTATTGTGTGTATGAAAGAGAGAAAGAGAGCGTGTGCAACAGAGCCGACGATGCACGTCGTCGGGGTTCTCAGGACGCATCGATCCACGTCTCCGAAAGAGGAGAACCGTCGACGGGCCGATCGCCCTAGGAGGCGAGGCGCGGTCTTCGTCCGTGATTTACTCGTTAGGCGAGCAAATTGTGTGACAGGTGTTCACGTTTGTCTCTCCGCGGGCAGCAGCATCCCCGGCTGAATCTCGCTCGTCGATCGCGTCTCGTTTTGCTTTCACGCCCGCGGCGGTGCACGCGCGCGATGAGCAGCGTTATGATAGTGTGTAGCAGCAGCGACGACGGCGACACGATAGTAGTGGTGCGATGGCGCAGCGGTGGTAGTAGTGGTGTAACGTGTGTAACAGCGTCACGCAGAGCACAACAAAAGGAAGCACGGGTTACGTGAGAGAGGCATCGTATGGCCGGGAAGAGCGGGTATCGAGCGTCGATGGCACGGATCGGTTACGGGGATATCGCGCCCGTCTACCGGGTGTTCCGAACGGACGCGCGTCGAGACCTAATTCTCGAGCGGGCTTCTCTATGCGGAAAAGGAGGATTAATGTCTCATTTCCAGATTTATGTTCCCATTTATATAAGCAAGAATCTTATATATGAAGTTAAAAAATACTTGCACCTACATGAAGAAATTTTACACATGTAGTTCTAGTGAAAATATCACATCCTTGTTGTTTAAGAACAATTTTCGTGAAGAACCGGAAGAAAAAAATACTAGACACGTAGAATAGTATTTTCACACTGAGAACAGTTCGAGATCAGTTTGATGATATCGCTTTTGCCGTCTGATATTTTCCTCTCAATTCGTACAAATTATTCCTGAATATGATATTTTTAGCGGAAACTATGTAGATTTTTCGCATGTTGTGTAAACAACGAATTGATGCATATTTATTTCGTTTATGTGTCGAAAGGGAAGTTTTATCTGTGAATTTTACAAGAGAAATGATTCTCAATTTGATTTCCGAGTCAGTGCTGCGTTCTTCATGGATTTGTCTCCGACGTTTCGCGAACATTTCCGTCACTTCTTCACGGTGCAGGATCGACCTGAAACCGTCGTTCCTGCAAGCGATTCTCGAGAAAAAAATCTCACGCTCTCCCGAAATAATTAATAAGCTTCATCGAGGGGCTCTTTGTCGCGAATTGAGCTTGACGTCTCCCGTTATGTCTCGTCGTTCTGTTGCGAAGTGAAAAGCGTGTCTTGTTTAAAAAAAAAAAAAAAAAAAAAAAAAAAAATGAAAAGAGTTCGGTCCGCGCGTGAGTTTCTGTCGGCCGTGTATCGGCGCGGAATAACGCGTTTGATTGCGACCGCTGTTACATTCAATTGCGCCTGAAACGTCAATGAGCACGCGCAAGGGGGTGGCTGCTATTTGCCGGTAACGAGACGGACTGGTTCCGCAGGCACGTCCTTTGGCGTTTCAACGTATGTCAAAGGCCGCGGGAAAGAGTCCCGTCGTTGTCGCCGCCGTTGTCGAGTTCTGTCGCGAAGCTCGACGAATTTTCTTTAAGCATCAGCACGAGGCGACGACCGACCGACCGACCCGTGACACAGATCTCGCCAGCTGCGAGGAGATCGTCGAGGCGTCATGGGTTCTATTTTAAACCTTCCTCGGCTACGATAATAATAACAATTTTTGTTATTATTAATATACTCTCGCGATGGATGATTAAGGATGCGGAAACGGACCTGTCTGACGCTCCCTCCGCAGACTTCCGAGCGTTTTTTATACACGATATTAATTTATCACGATATTAATTTATCGCGCATTTTTAGATCGTTTCGAGTTGCAACGAACTTTACCCCCAATTTGAAATGTACACACGGGAAAATGCATGCCGCTGCATTCAAATAAATATTACTCGTTTCGAGTGTTTCGTAAATTTACATATACGCAAATATATCAAAGTTTATCGTGGAGCGTCCAATTTTTTATTCAAAATTATTCTGAATTCTAATAAGTTTAATACTTTAATCAAGAAGATTAAATCAAAACACTAATGTTCGGTTTACTTATTCAAATTAATCGAATTTAACTTTTTTTCGGTAAAATGTGTAATATTCTTGAAAAGAGAATAAATCCTTCTTTTGAGTAAATGATAATGAGCTTTTCTGATATTTGTGATGAATATATTCTGATACTGTTATCACGAAAAAATATACATTATCTAAGATAACTATTATTTAAAGGAAAAATAAACTGAAAAAAAAAATTGCTTTTTCCTCGGTACAGTTAACATTTTTCTCTGTGTGACAAAAAAGAGATTCTTGCGACGATTTCGATATTTGTAAGCTCACGAATTGTTCTCCGTGAAATAAAATCGTGCGTGGTTTATACACGGTTACTTCTTGGTTATTCTTTGTTTCAGTCTGTTCATAGAAGCGGCAGGTGGAAAGAGAGAGATAGATAGATAGATAGAGAAAGAGAGGGAGAGAGAGAGAAGGAATACGTCGATGCTAACGCGATTTTCAGGCTTTAACGAAGCGACTCTACGACCGAACGACTCACCGCCGTCTTGTTTCCATCGTTTCTGCCGTTCCTGTTTCAGCGGCCGACCCTGAGGGCAAAAACGCTCCTCGATAGTGTGCCACGCGCACTCGATACTTTCTATACGCGTGCCGCGTGTACACAAGCGTCGCTCATTCAACACACCATTGCCGCGGACCCGATGTCTTTTCGTCGATACTCGCGGTGAAAACGCAGGGACGTTGTCGATTCAGCTCTCCCGCGTGACGAAGAATTTCGTCGATTCTACATATATGTGTGTGTGTGTGTGTGTGTGTTGCATGTCTCTCTCTTTCTCACACCTTCGCGGTAACCTCTGCTCTTAATCAGATGCGGGCACACACCGGACGACCCTGAATACAATTTTTACATAACTGGAAGCCCGCCGCGCGCGACTACTTCCGAAGAGCGCAACGTGACGACACGCGCCTCGCGCGCGCACCTGCCGCTCCCGGAGGGAATTGATTCGAGGACGTCGCTCGATTTCGCATCAAAATCGAAACGACAATTGCGCGCGAAGCCCAGGTGAATCTCCGTGAGTTTATTTCATCTCGCTCGCTCGCACGAGCGATCTCTCGTCGACGTCGCGCCGGTGCGGCCGTGCGTTCTTGAGTTTGACGCACACGCCACTCGAAACTCGCCCGTTTATTTTTATCTCATGCTCGAAATCATCGATCGATCGCAAGTGGAGCGATGGAATGCCGCGCATTAGCCGCGCGCCCGACGGGAACTCGAGATTTCCACAGATCGCGAGGAATTAACGAGTGGCCTTGGGCCGGCCGGATATCTATCTCCCTCCCTCCCTCTCCTTCTCCGCAACACCCACCGCCGTTTCAATTGGGTCAATTGTGCGTTTTACTGCAGAGAGCACTATTTTCGAAAGACGCATCATTCCGGATGCGCTTGCGGCTCCCTGCTTCTCCTCTCCTTCTCGCTCGCTCGCTCTCTCCCTCTCCTTTCCTCTGCCCCCGTGCGGGGTAGTAATCGATGGGAAGTGCAGACTGCGCACACTTTCGGCTCCGTCTACACTCCGTTGACTGGAAGGAGAGAGAGAGAGAAAGAGAGAGATCTCGGTAGTCGGCGACGAGCAGACGAGAACGCGTCGCCGGGAACGTTCGTGATTTATTCGTAAGGATATCTGATATTTCCCGATTAATTCCATTCTGTTATTTTTCCCCGAGAGAATATCGTGACGCGTGTCGCGAAACTCGATCTTGCCGGAGGCGTGCCGCATTGGGACTCGTAAAGCCTGTATCAAACTGGTA